TCCTGTGTGTGTGTGTGTGTGTGTGTGTGTGTGTGTGTGTGTGTGTGTGTGTGTGTGTGTGTGTGATTTGGCTCTGGGTCCAGACATTTTTTTTCCTCGGAAAGAAAAAGCTTTGGATAATCAGTTAATTAGAACGTCAAAACGGCAGCTGCAGCCAACTCAGATGTCTGAATACCTGTGGGGAAGGCGATGAAGATTTTCACTGTCATTATTGGTCACTCCGGACTTTCCAGGTGGTTTCTGTCAGCAGCTCTGACGTGTCCTCCATTATGCCGTTATCGTTGGTCGTATCATGTCTGCGTGTGATGTCCTCTTATCAAACTGCAAAGCTTTGCTCTGCATAATTTGCCTCAATTCCACGTCGGCCATCAGCTGACAGGTGTCGAATCCGTGCCGCCAGGATTAACCTCACCGCCCGGTTTCAGTACCTCCCCACTTTTATCTCTGCACTGTCACCTCTAGTATCATGAAGTGAAGGGCAGAGACTGACAGAGCTGACACCGCGTTGTCCCTTTCAACACACACACCCACGCACACACACGGCCTCCTGACAGACAGCAGTAATAACAAGGTTCCTGGTTTATCAGACTGGGACCACACTGGAATTCACAGAGATGGAATCATTTAATAGACAGAGTGTTTTGGAGAGCGTTTCATTCGCTGTCCACCGAGGTGACATTGACTTTTTATTTTATTTTTGGGAGTGGTGGGGAGGGGAGGGGTGGTGGTGGCGAGACGCTGATGCAGAGTGGCAGAGGCGATGTGCCACAGTGCCGTCCTGCGTTTCTATTTCTGTTGTGTTGCTCTCGGTGAACACAGTGTGATTCATGCGTTTGATTTTCTTAACCCACAGAGCAGGTTTTCTTGTTGATGACCTAAAGGTCCCTTTATATTAAAAAAGTTATTTTCTTGGGCTTCTAACGTGAAGAAGGTGACCCCCACCCCCCGAATCCCAGACCTCATTAGAAAGAATAATTAAAGTCAAGACACAGTCCTCCGTGGTATTGTATTCCCCTGTTTCACTGTATTCCCTGTCCTGTTCTACACAATAGGTTATAATGTGGCTTTAATACTGGTGTTAAAACCTTAATTTGAGCCCATATCTTTGTTCTGCTTGACATCTCCCTCCGGCTTCCTCTACTTCTCAGTGTAATATTTCTGAAATGTATGGATATCCCCTTTTGAAAATCCTCAGCTGGATCATATTTCAGGTGTGTCTACCGACTCCTGACCTTTCACATATCCCGTACCGTTTCCTTTATGCTTTATTGTCGTACAGCTGAGGTCACTGACACCCAACTTTTATTATAATGTGCATCATGCACAAAGCTATTATGTGACAGAAAGACAATCTGCTCGCTCTGATTTCCTTCCTGTATCCGTGCAGCATGAACCTGACCTGGAGGGACATGCAGCACCTGGTGGTGAGGACGTCCCGGCCCGGACACCTCAGCGCCGGAGACTGGAAGACCAACGGAGTGGGACGCAGAGGTGGTGACTTAATAAAACAAGCACCGGCAGTATATGGTTTTATATTTGTGTCTCAGGCTCCAGCCATACTGCTACATTTGTGTTTGAACGCATCCACACTACTCTGGAGTTTTAGAGCCGATAAAACAGAGACGCTCCTGGCACCATGATTTGCCTTCGCTTATTTGTCAGACTCCTGTAACCTGACCCCCTTTCAAATGAAGGGGTCTGGGCTTTCAGTGTAGAACGCTACATGGATAATCAATTACAAGCATTGCCGACCCTGTTAAAGTTGTTTATGAGACAGGAGCTAAAGAAGAGTTTCAGACAGAGGCTGAAAAGTGGAGCTGCAGCAATGGACAGAATGTGGAAAGCCATGTGTTTTCTGGACATTAGAGCATGTAAAGTAATAACACTAAATTAAAATGATGAACCTGATACTGTTAAAGTAGCAAACGAAAATCTATTCTTCGTTCTCTGAAAATATATTTTGCTTGTTTGATATTTTACACATAAACACACAACGACAAATAAACGTTACTCTGTTATTTTTTAGGTTTGAGGAGCAAATATAAAACCCTAGTATTAGTGGACAGAGTGGATTGTTGATTGATTGTAATTTCTCTCTCTCTGATGTTTTCTGGTCATAACCCCCCCCACTCCTCTTCATCCCTCCATCCTTTGTTTTTCTCTGCAGTGAGTCATTCGTATGGTTACGGGCTCCTGGATGCCGGCGCTATGGTTGCTTTGGCACAGAACTGGACGACACTTGGGCCACAGCACCAGTGTGTTCACACCATGCTCACAGAGCCGAGGTTAGACGTGACTCAGAGCTGTGTGTGTGTGTGTGTGTGTGTGTGTGTGTGTGTGTGTGTGTGTGTGTGTGTGTGTGTGTGTGTGTGTGTGTAGAGTGCAGTGGGTTTTATTATCACTTTAGTCACTTGCTGTTCTGTCCTGCCGCTCAGCCTGATAGATGTCTCCTCATTCCCCCTTGCAGCCGCGTAATTTGTGGCACCGCACTATTGTCTGTGTCCATTCCTGCAGCCATACGTTAACCACTCTGCCCCTCCGCTTGTCAAACCTGCAGAGACATCGGAAACAAGCTGGTGTTCAGCAAGAGTGTGGATGCCTGCTGGGGACGGCCCGAGTATGTCAGCTCTCTGGAACACACTCAGGCTCGCCTCACTCTCTCCCACAACCAGAGGGGAAAATTGGCCATTCATCTCATCAGCCCACTGGGCACACGCTCCACCCTGCTGTTCCCCAGGTACACAGCAAAAATACACCACTACACACAACAACAGCAACAACACTCCAGACCTGGGATAAATCTCTCTGTCTCAAACACACACAGACAAACACTATGTGCATGTGCCTGAATTCTGCTTATGCACAAATACTACAAAGTATGCTCGCTGGGAAAAACACCCTATTTGCATTTGAGTACAAAATAACAAAGACAACATGTCTTTTTTATCTTTCTTTCTTCTTCCAGGCCCAATGACTTCTCCTCAGAGGGATTCAACGACTGGGCCTTCATGACCACCCACTCGTGGGACGAGGATCCTCAAGGGGAATGGACCCTGGAAATTGAAAACGTAGCGGCTAACGGACGAGACTATGGTACATTTAAGCCAACTCGACGCTTGGTGCATATTTTCACGCTTCTCTGAGTAGCCTCTCCTCAGTTCTCCATTTACTCCTGCTCCGCTCCTTCTTTGATGGCAGTTTGTCTGTGAGCAGCGAGAGCGGCTCTCAGTGCCAGAGATTGATTCCGCTGTAAAAAAGTGACTGTCAACCTTTTGATTATCCTTCAGTACCTTGAGAATTTTCGTGTTATTTGCAACAGACAGTCTGCATTTTCCTTCAAAAGGCAAACCATCAGCATATCGTCAAGAAGCGTTAACTCGTTAAGTCCGAGAGCTTTCCTGTGGCTGTTCCTGTTTACTCAGAGAAGGGGGGGAAATGAGATGGGAAAACATCTTTCCCTCAGCTGGTGCTGATTCTTTCCAGTGATGCTCACATCACTCGTTTCCCCTCCTCTCCTCCATATGTCCTCCTCCCAGCCAGTTCGCACTGTTTCCTTTGTGAGAAGTGCTAAATTGATATTCTCCTCCACCTCCTCCCTCTCCCCTTCTGCCTCAGGTGTGCTGAGTCAGTTCACCCTCATCCTGTGGGGCACTGGACCCAGTGTCCTCAACCCCTCGTCGTCCAATTTTCCTCGGCCATCCAACAACAGCTGCAAGACCTTCGACGCCCAGCAGATCTGCATCGGTGAGATCACATGAGCCGACACACAAACCAAAGTTAAATGGGCTCATTTGTATTTTGTGCTGGCTCACAATCGAGGTTATAAAAAAAACAGGCTCTGGGTCAGACTGTTTGCATTTTTTTAATTTGTGAAAAGCGAATGTTGTGAATACAGATTGCTTCTTTTACAAGGCTCTCGTTCGTCTGTTTATGTGCTCCATGAATATGCACGTAGCCATATGTCATGTTAGTGTGAATCAGAGTGTGGGACGTACGGAGGAGCAGCAGCGGGAGATTAAACCTGTGTTAGTGCAGGAGGTGCTAGGCTGTGAACAACTGCTAAAGACGATGACTCCCTCATTGAAAGGCAGATGAGGTCCTGAAGCGTCGCTCTGCTTCCAGACAGCAGTCAGACATTTTCTTCTCCAAATCAAATCTATATTATATATATTTTGTGGTCACTGGTCCCCGATTTTCTAATAACTTCCAGAAAATCAAGTTGAAGGTTCCTGAACAGGTCTGGTCTGGATTTGATTTATTATCGAGAGAAAATGACAAACTTCCATTCGTCCTTTTAACAAATTTAGTGTCCTGTCAGTGAGGTTGAAATTTACAGGCAGTTATGCAATGCAATAAAGTTTTGAACAAAAAAATTTACATTTACATGGGTTTAATGCTCTCACTTTTATCAGCTGTTAAAGTTTTATCACTGTTTTCTACATAAAAAAAACTTTGTAAATTGAATTATTA